TTATTCTTGATTCTTTTAATCATCTCAGACCAAAGAGTCTTTGCCGGATGTCCTTCTATATCTACAGTATAACCCAGGATAGTAAAAGAATCTTGGTCTTCACTAGGGAGCTTAAACATGTTCTGGTTAGGTAATTCGACTCTTCGGGCAATGTTCGTTAGTGGGATTAGAGTAGACTTAGCCTTATTGATGACAGCATTTGAGGCCCTTTCATATTTTGTTAGTATCTCTAGAAGTTTGGACCAATCAGATGGAGAACTAATTCCTATTGAGAGATCATCTGCATAGGCCGCTATCTTGAATGCTGAGTTATTGATTCGAATACCGTTGATGTTTTGGTTAATTGCATTGATTAGTGGTTGATAGCCAGTACATACAGAAGAGGGGAGAGAGGGTCCCCCTGTCTTACTCCTCGTTCCACTCTAAAAGGCTCAGAGATCATTCCAGAGTCAATGATATGTGCTTTTTGTGTAGTGAAGAGAGAGCTGATTATGTTTATAAACCTTTGGTCAAAGTTCATTTTTTCCAGAACTATTTGGATGAAGTTATGATTGACTCTGTCAAAGGCTTTTTGTTGGTCCAAGAGGAGAAGCCAGTGCTGTTTAGTCTGGTCACTTTGGTTTCTCATAACTGTGATGATATCTATTGCTGTATTAGTAATTGATCTTCCAGATATGAAAGCCTGTTGTGCTGGACCAATTAAATCGTTGCATATGGGGTTAACTTTGTTGGCCAAAATTTCATGAAAATTTTGGCATTTGAGTTAACCAAAGATATAGGTTTCCAGTTACCTAGTTCTGACAAATTAAGACTTTTACTCCAAGATGATAGAATTTCTCTAGTCTCCAGAATATTGTTGAACAAATCTGTCAGTTTTGGCACAATAATTTCTTTAGTGTCTTTAAAAAATTCATATGTGAGCCCGTCTAGTCCTGGTGTTTTATTGTTTGGAAGTTTGTCAATTACTTGACTTACTTCCTCTGCTGAGATGGGTTTTGTTAGAGCGAGATTCTGCTCGTAAGAGACCTGTGCTAAGTTCTCAGTAAGCTGCTGGGCTGCCTCCTCATCAATAGATTCTTCTTTGTAGATGTTTTCATAGGATTCCTTGATATAACTCATAATTTGTTTCTGTGTTGCTGAGTTAGGTCCATTAGGAATTTGAACCCTAGAACTACAGCTTCCTGAATTTCTTTTTTTGTATAGTGCGAAAAAGTATTTGGTAGATTTTTTGCCTTCCTCAATCCATTTAACGTTAGATCTTAGTCGCCATTTGTTAGATAGTAAGATGAGTTCTTCTTGTAGTTTGAGGTTTAAGTCCTCTATAACCAGTTTAAGTTCTTCAAGTTCTGGGTTTCTTGCTAATTTGTTATTAAAATAATTGAGTCTTTTATGAAGCTTCTGAATGTTTTTTTCTGCAGCTGGTTCAGCTTTAATAGCTTTTGCTATAGATTGGATAACACATTTGTGCCAGTCCCAATCTTTAGTGTCCTGAATATTTTGAAGCTCTGTAGAAATGTCTGCTTTAATTCAGGTGAATTCCAAAATTTTCTATTGAATCTCCATAAGGATTTTTTTGGATATTTGGACCTGAGGTTGATTTCAGTTTCCACTAGCAGATGATCTGAATTACCAAAACGTGTACATGTGTTTGTACATAGGTGACTATAGCTTGTTTCAATTAATATATAATCTAGACAGGTTGCCATTCTTTGATCTCCTTGAGTAGTTTGGTGGTAAGTAAGAAATAGACTCTCCTTAGAGAAGAGTGCTGTGTCTATATATTCCTTAGTTAGATTTTCTAAGAGACCTTTGGAGTGATCGTATTGTGCTAGAGCCTGGCTTATTCTATTGGTTTCTGGGTTTAGATTTTTATTGAAGTCTCCTGCTATAATGCTTATACTGTCGTTTGAAGTGTCTGGAACCCAGTTTCTAAGAAAAGATGTTCTCTCATCTAGGCTAGGTGGGGCATAGACATTAATAAATGAGAAAGCTTGATGTTTAATTTCTGTCCTAGCTTTGGTAACTCGCCCATTATGTGATTCTTTTTTGTCAGTGAGTTTGATATTCTTTTTGCCTGTTAATATTGCAGTTTTCGAAGACCATATGGAGTCAAATCCCCAAATTTGTGATAAGAAGTGTCTTGTGCTCAAGTCTTTTAAGTTGGTTTTTTGTAACATGATTATGTCTAAATTATATGATTTTAAGAGAGTGAGTGTTCTCTGAGCTTTAGGTCTGTTGTTTAGACCTTTAACATTTAGTGTAGCAATTTTAATCATAAAAGAATTATAGTGTTTGTTGGCTACACTAAGAGATGGGTCTCTTAGTGTTGATTTTTAGATCCTGGGAAATTCTGTTTTGAATTTCCTGGAATTCCATATGGTTGGCCGGATCTGTATTGACTGTTCTTCTTAGGGTTTTTGCCTTTATATTTTCTTGGCATTACTGTAGTAAAAGGAATTTCCTTTTGTTCAGTAGAGTTGGAGCTAGGCTCTTCCATCATATTGTTTGAATCTGTTGTTGTTTCATTAATTTTGACATCTGTAGATATAGTAGAAGAAGAGGAATCTAATTCCATATTGCTATCAGAGCTCTTGTTAGAATTTGGAATTTCTTCAGGCAAAGTAGTCGAAGCTGGGGCTGCAAGTTCTTTCTTATTTTAAATTACTTCCTCCATATCATTTTTGTATGGATTATTAGGACTAAAATTGATTTCTGTAGCCTCTGATTTTTGTGTTTTTTCTTTCTCCATTCGGGATCGGGCTTCTCTAAGAAGTCGTCTAGTTTCAATTGAGTTTTTAAGCTCTACACAATCTTTTTTAATGTGACCTTCTTTTTCACAGTAAAACCAGATTTTCGGAGCTTCTTTCCATTCTGTTGTTATTTTATAGTTTCCAATGTGAATAGTTCTAGGAATTCTTGAGGCAATTTCTGGGTCATCAGTAGTTTCAAACGTAACTAACCATTGATCTAAGCAGACCATAGTTCCTTCATAGAAGAGAGGTTTAATGGATACTATTTGACCAACATCTTGAAAGGCTTCTAGAATACGGTTGCTGATATATTGAGTATCACCTATAGGGGTGTTCTTTACTTTTACTGTTAAAAAGGATCGATTGAGGTTGACAGGAATATACCCAAACAACATTTGCTTGAAGAGAATAATGCCTTTAGCCGCATAGTATTGCACTTTATCCTTATTTTTAAGAACAAGTTCTAGATAGGTTCTTTTCCCTCTTGAGTTGTGAGTTTTTGCTGCGATAAGATCTTCCTTTAAACTCATAGCCAGAGCTGCGATGATATCGTTAGTTGGTATGTTATTCAGATTTTGAATATCAACAACTAGTGCGTTTTCGTTTTTAGAATGAATTCTTTGTCTTGGAGTAGAGTTAGTATAAACTGCCTTTCCTTCTTTTAGTTTTGCAAATAGATCAGACCACTGTTTGGGTTTGGTTTCTTCATTTTGTTTGCCTTGTACTTTAGATGTGTTAGACGAAGATGATCCTACTGGAATGGTTAGGCGCACAGAGGTTGATTTGTACTCCGAAGACACATGAATCTTTTGTTTATTGTTTATATTATTTACATGTTTTGTTGTGCTTGAGTGATCTTCACGTGTTTCTTGTTGACTAAGAGTGATTTTGCTCTCATTTCTTTTCTCAGTTGTTTCTTCCATTTCCACCTGGTTTGCCCAGTCTATATTGGACTTATTAAGAGTTGAATCTGCTAAAACATCTGTTTCTAGCTTGGTGATGTTATCTTTATTGTCGTTGCTATGTTCTCAGATTTCTTGTTGTTTTCTTTGTTTTCTTCAGTTTTTGCAAAGTCAAAAACTTTATTATTATTTGAAGAAAGTCTGGCCTTCTTGTTGTTTGGTTGTTTACCCATGTCTAGGGTAATATGTTTATGCTTTCTGGACACTAAGGTCCTTGTTTCGTCTGGGTTTTGAAAGAAATCAAGTTGTGTTTGTACCAAAATTTTGTTTTTAGTATAAATTCCAGAAGTGAACCAGAAAGAGTTTAGAGTTAAAATTTTCCAGTAAAGTTTCTTTTTTTTTATAAAGCTATTGATTTACCGATAAGTCTAACAAATTATTTTATAATTCTAGTAATAAGTTTTTTGACAAACACGGTTCATATTTTACTTAATGAAGTAAAAGAGTTAAAAAAGTCATCTCGATCCCCTACACCAAGCGCACCCCTTACACCAAGCGACCAATATGATTATGGTTATGGTAATGCCAATAATTATATAAGCGATGAAGGAATTGGACCCAGCAGTACTACCGGTTTTTCGCAACCGTTAAATAATTGTGATCTAATAGACCTGGAGAATGAAATGAATAATTTT